AAGATTTTGAGAGAGAGCAAGAGCAGGAGCGGGGATGGGGGCCGTGGGGATACAGAAGGAGAGGGAGAAGCAGACTCCAGGCTGAGTGGGGAGCCCGATGTGGAACTTGATTCCAGGACTCTGAGATCATGACCTGAGCCGAAGGCAGATGCTTAACTGACTGAGCCACCCATAAGCCCCTGCGGATTTATTATTTAGTGTTTTTTATCACAGATGCTAAATTGGTACATTCTACTTCTCCCCTTTTTTAGATTCACTGTTCAGGTTCAAGTCTTCCTTATCCAGCTCAGGCTGTCTAATTGAATTTTCTGTAATGATGGAAATACCTGCCTAGTACAATAGCCACTAACCATTTGTAGCTACAGAACACCTGAAATACGGCTAATGTAACTCAGGAACTGAATTTTTAATTGTTAATTAAATAGCCAATGTGGCTTGTGGCTGCCATATTGGGCAGTGCAGAGCTAGACAGTATTTTTGGGAGAATGCGCTCTGAAGGGAAGAATGATAAGGTGGTATCTAAAGAGGAATTCAGACATCTATAAGTAATACATTATCATTTGAAACTCTTTATGCGTGTTTTATGTAAAATTGTGAAATATACCCTGTTATGGTTCATTATTATGAAAAATAACCTCTTTAATCCCAAATAATAGAATGGGTTTAGTTTATGCATATCCTTTACCACTTTGTATGTTCAGCAAATAGTTACTGATTTGATCCTTTATTCAGGTTTTGAAATAACTAGTGTGTCTGTACTTCATTGTGAATTTTAATGTTAAATTTTTAATAGTTTTCATTTTAGGGTAATTCTGTTGAGTGAAAAGGTAGTTAATTTTTGGAAGACATCTATTTATAAATATGAGAAATGAGATTGAATTGGTCTTGGTTTTTATTTATATGCCTGTATTGCTTATTGTGTGCAAAGTATGTGCTTTGTATACATTACTCTTGATCTTAACAAAGACTGTGGGGTGTAGGTACTTGATTCTCTTCATTTGATAGATCAGAAAACTAAGGTACAAAGAAATTAGGTCTTTACCTACGGCTAGCTACACAGTAGTTAATAGGGTTGGGATTTGAACTCAAGCAGATTTGAGTCTAGTGTGTAGATTCTTCATGATTATACTGTTCTACTTCCTAAGTCATCGCACTAATTGTTTCTGTTATACTTCCAGTTTTATATAGACCCATATAAACTGCTACCACTGCAGAGGTTTTTACCTCGACCTCCAGGTGAGAAGGGACCTCCAAGAGGTGGTGGCAGGGGAGGTCGAGGAGGAGGAAGAGGCGGAGGTGGCCGAGGTGGTAGAGGTGGTAAGTTACTTTTGGCGGAAATTTTCTAATGAGATTTCAAAGTTGCAGCCAATTCATACAGTATAATTTAATTTTTTATATAGGCAAACCTCCTTTATGCTTATTTATTTTTTTTAGAAAAGCTATTTTCAAATCTTGGCAGATTGCCATAGTAATAATGCTCAGTTTCAATAACTTATTTAAGAAAAATCTAATAAAATATAATTTTGAGGGATTTTATCTCTTTGGGGTTATTCATGTTTTGTTGAGCATTTTATAAAGTATAAGATTATCTTGACTGAATTTTAGTTTTTTAGTTAATATTACTGGGTGTTGATTATATGCTGTGAGCTGGTCATATTCTTTTAATATTCACTAAAACCTTGTGAGATAGGTGATAGCCTTATTTTAGATGAGGAAATGGGAGGCTTACAAAAGTTAATTTGCCCTAATTAAACAGTTGGCCGTCTAAAAATAAAATCCCTATCTTCCGATGTCATGTCAGAGACTTCCCCAAAAATTCATTGCTCTGATTTCAGCATTTTGGTATATATATTTCCTTGGAGTTTTGGTACATTGATCATTATGAACAGGGTTGGGAATAAGGTGCGGTGTAGTATAGAGTATACCTAGATCTGTGAGTAGTGGTATGGTGGGTGGGTGACAGGATGATGGCAGAGCCTAAGTGGTGAGGAAGGGGAGCCGAAAATTGGTTGGTTATCTTCTGTTCCTGAAGCAGAAAGGAGAGAGAACTCTGTTTTCACCTTTGCCTTTCTCAATTTAATTATTTCATTCTAAATATCCTTTTTTGGGTCCAGATAGCTAGGAGATAATCTCTTTAAGAAATCTGAATATATGTGTATTAAATATTTTGAGAATCTAATGATTCATTCCCATTCTATATTCAGTCTCATCTATAACACTGAAAAAAATTCACTCCCCCTAGCTGCTACCCTTGGTTCTTAGGATAAAATGCCTTAGTTCAATCAAAAAAGTAAGCAAAAGTTGAGGTACTCCTACACTTAACAGTAGGGCTAAATGGAACTTTAACAAGCTTTTGTAATTCATCAAAACAGAATACTTGTTTAAAAAGTTGTAATGTAGGGTGTTAGGCTTATCAGAATAGCATAGGCTACAGTAGTTTTATAAACATTTCCTTTATTTTTAGGTGGTTTCAGAGGTGGAAGAGGAGGTGGAGGTGGAGGCTTCAGAGGAGGAAGGGGTGGTGGTGGTTTCAGAGGTGAGTGTGAAAAAAAAAATCTTTGAATCACTGAATTTCTGAATTGGTATTATCTACCATTGTAAATTTTTATTCAGTCTTATTTTGGTTTCCCAAGTATATAGAACATCATTGCTTTAGCCTAATTTATAGCTTTATTTTTATATCACTTTCTTACTTTCCCCCTTGAATTTTTTCACCTACTTCTAATTTGTTTTGCTGTATTAATTTGAAAAATAAAAAGGTGTGTAATATGAATGACAGTTAAATTTGGTAAATTGGTTGTCTAACCAGTATAAGAAGAGATTTTAAACTTGAGATTTCGGGTATAGTGCTATTAAAAATTTATTTTCTATAGCCTTAATACTTTCATTTTCTCTTAATCAGGGAGAGGACATTAAGTGTAACAGTTGACAGAGAAACTTCCTGCATGATCTACTTCTGTGGATAAGAAACTTGTTTCTTGAGCAAGTCTTGAAGAACTGGTCATTTTCTGACAGTGGGACTGGGACTAAAATGACAATGCCATGCAAAAATGAGTGCAACAGAATAGGCAATTTTGCTCTAAAAGAGTATGAACAAATGTTTTAATGTTTTGTACAATGCTTGGAACTTTGTGGGTGCTTAATAAATGGGCAGTTTTCATTTGAAGCATACTTGGAATTTTTAAAATAAAATGTTTTATTTCTTTAAGTTATAACAGAGCAGCTGTGTTTATTAAAACAGAGCTATTTTTTAAGTTAAAAGGAATAACTAAGCTTAAACTCAGTGGATTTCAGGTAGGAAAAATGATTTGTTTACATATATAACTGATCTTTAAAAAAGTAGGTTAGGGGAACAGTACTTTAACGTTATTTATAAATTAACACCCCCTTTCAAAATCTTTGCCTTTTATATATGAAAACATCAGCACCTTTTATTTCATTTCACTTGTGTACATTAAGAGTTACTAAAGCAGTTTTTTTAATTTCAATTAATAATTGATTAGCAAATTTTAGTGTTGATTATGAATCTATTAAAGTTGGAACAGCTCTGTTCATGTGAGAATTGAAGTTCAAGTAATTTCTGGAGAAATGTTCAATTCTCATTCAACAATCTTAGATGGGATCTTGAAAGTTTTACTGAATGTTTTTATTTTACTTTTTTAAAAGAAACTCTAAAGGTTTAAGATGTTATTTATCATAAGAAAAGATGTTATTCATTATAAATAAATATTTGTTCAGATTCCTGGGTAGGGACATTACAAATGAAATTGATTTTTGATCCCTACTGCTAGTGTAGTATCAAGAAGTAACTATGATAGCAAGTTAGAATACTGTGATAATGGGACCATTTCCCTGCCATTGATTCCCCCCCCAACACATGTATTCGTTCTCAGAAAGAATGATGTTTCCATCTTTCCTTATATTTTCTAGCATGCTGTACCTAATATTAATACTTGGTTAACTCTGGAATGCTTGTTTGAGTAGCATATAGTATTGTCTGTGTCGGTAATTTGGTTTTTACTTACCTTTTTTGATTAATGGAATTACAGCAGAATTAATAAATATGTAGGCCATAAATATATATGATGAACAAATACGCTGAAAATTACTTTTTCAGAAAATTACTTTTGGAATCTGATGAGATTCACTTTCCTAAGATAGATACTCTTTGGAGTATTAACTTTATAAAGTTTTGAGTACTGGTAGCTATAAGATCTGGGACAGATCAACCTGGCTCAACTTCATTTTATTTTTTAATTCTTTTATTTTTATTTTTTTATTTTTTTTAAAGATTTTATTTATTTGACAGAGACAGAGATAGCGAGAGCAGGAACACAAGCAGCGGGAGTGGGAGAGGTAGAGCAGGCTTCCTGCCGAGGAGGGAGCCCAATGTGGGGCTCGATCCCAGGATCCTGGGATCATGACCTGAGCCGAAGGCAGACGCTTAACTAAGACTGAGCCACCCAGGCGCCCCTATTTTTTAATTCTTTTAAAAAAATATTTTATTTATTTGAGAGAGAGAGCACAAGAGAACACGAGTGGTGATAGTGGGCAGAGGGAGAGGGAGAAGTAGACTCCCCATTGAGCAGGGAGCCTGAAGACCCAGATCTCTAGCCCAGGACCCTGGGACCATGACCTGAACTGAAGGCAGACACTTACTCAACTGAGCCACCCAGGTGCCCCTCAACTTCATTTTATACATAGCTGGAAGAATTGAGGCAAAGGATTATCTTGGGTCTTTCCTGCTGTGCCATTTTAGGAGTTATAAAATTAAATTAAGTGGGTAAATATAGCCCCCTAGTGGTTCTGTTCCATGTTTACACTGTTAGCTGGTGCATCTAGCATTTCTCTGAAGTTACTGATTTTGAAAAATTAACTTGAAAAGAATCAGATTTTAGTAATAATACATGACATAAAGAATATGGGGGGGAGAAGTGGTAGGGATATCATATTCTAACAATTTTCATGCTAGATTATAACCCATTTGTATAACTACTTTTTGGGTTATTACAAGGTGGTCCAGAATATTAGAATTGCTCTGTACCTTACAAGATGAATGACTGAATCCAGATTCTTTGCTGAGATATGCTCTGATTGTTATTATCTGATAATTACTTGTGCATATCAAAGCATAGGGTAAATTAAGTAAGGTGGGCTGTGAAGTAGATTATATATATCCATGCCATGAAATAAAAGCTATTAATAAGTTAGACTTAGGTTTATTGGCCTGGAATTTATGATATGACTTTAGGGGAAAACAAGGTAACAGAATGATTTTATATATGCATATCTCCCCATTTTTGCTTAAAAGAAAAAAAAAAGTGGGAGAAACCTCAAATCCTAGTATGAATATATGTTTGTATAAGCAAAGAAAAACAGAGAAGATACACACCAAAAAATATTACTACCTTTAAGGAAGTGAGACTTGGAAGGATGGAAGGAGATTACTTCTCTGTTTATGTCTGATTATTCAAATTGTTATGGAAAAAGAAACAAATGGAAAAACTTGAAAGGCTCAGCAGAAAGCAGGGACCTTAATCTGAAAAGTTTTAGGAGACCAAGTCTTGTTCTTAATTTCAGAACTGATTTCCAACAGCAGTCAGTTAAGTCAGCTCCTGCTGATTTTGAGTTTGCTTATTGTTTGAATGGGAGGTGTGTACTTGATAATCTCCTTAGATACAAGACTGATGACCCAATTGTTTAAAATGTGTGGTGCTTGGTATTTCTCTTTATTTTGCTAATAAGCTTTTTCCTTGTTCTGGGAATTAAAATCCTTTCCTCTCCAGCCCAATTAAGTTTGTTAAGGGAGGGCCTCTATGAAAACGCCCTTCTTTGAGGTCTGTAAGTGGAAATGATTGGTTCTGAAAATTCTTTCTTCATTGGTTCTTAAAATATTTCATAATTATTGAAGGCTCATTATGAAGGCTGTCTCAATTTCTTTCCTCCAAAATGCTAAGGAATAATTTAGACAACAGTACAGACTCTAAAAATGAAGATGGCTCTGTCTTTTCACAGACTGAACACAATGTTGTTGCAGCTTACTTGATCACAGCAGGTATGGATGTTTACTCCATTAACCATTATTTTGTTTCCGAATGGGTGAAGAAAAGCAGAGGTTTTCAGCATAAGGTTGTAGAAAAAGCATGGATTCAGAGATGTTTCAAGTTCCATGTTGTTGGCCAACAAGTCACTTACCCTTTCTGAGTTGGGGTGCGCATGTAGCAAATAGGAATAATAATACTTGCCGTATTTCTTGGCTGTATAGTAAGAGAATGTAGGTGAAAGGATAATGAAGGCATTGTTAATGGTGGTTAATGCCGCAAGTTATTTTGAATCTTGATAAACAATGTAACAGTAGTGAAGTGGGGCTAAGAAAATTTTCTATAAAATGAATAATTCTTTTATAATCATCCATATATTTGGTTATTACATTGTCAAGTTTTTATTGGGGAAGAGCGTGTACCATGGCAAAAATGTATTTTTATGTCCTTTACTGCTCTCATACATACTGTTCATAGTCTTATCTTTGGTGGTGGAATCTAGTTAAGATGGAAAGGCCTTAAAAAGAAAATTAAAGTTGTAAAAAGAGCAGACTCTATTGTCACTGAGGACAGAATTTGAAAATTCAACTCATTCCCAGAATATGCTGTATTGGAAAACTCTTGAGCTTTGGATTTCATCTTTTAGTATCTTATCTTTGCAACAGTAAGCAAGTTCCTTCAGCTTTTTGTTCTTCCATTTTCTTATCTGAAAACAGGATAAGAATAAGATAACTGTCATGATTGTTGAGAAGAGTAATATTAAATGACCTAAATGACACATACAGTAGGTATTGGACACATATACTTGTTTCTTTCTCCCCATGTGTACACACTCATTGATGTATACTGGATTAAGATAAAGGCATGTTTATTGGAAAAAAGGGATGGGGGAAATAAAATAGAAGTTGTCTAATTATCTTTTTAATGTATAGGTTGAATTGTATAAATTTTATATTGAGGAGTCACTTCATTTCCAACTTTATGCTCATTAATGAGTTTTAGAAGTAACTGTTAGTTATATTGGTTTATTGTAATTTTTTGGATTGACTTATGAAATTCTCAAATATATTCAAAAGTGGAGGGGAAAGTATCACAAATCCTACTATACCCGGTATATTCTTTATAGTTGCTTAGTTTCCCTATAATTCGTAATTACTTCTGTGCTAGAAGTTGTGATTCTTCAGTTAATTTTTGTAAATTCAACTTGTTCACTTGACTACCTCTGTATGATAAGTACTAGACAAGTTCTATTTTCTTTTTGATTTTTGTTGTTGCAACAGTATGAAAAAACAATATGCTAATTAAAGAGAGTCTTATTGCAACTACACAGAAATACTTTGTATACAAACTTTTAGTTTAGTTAGTTTTTTGTAGATGACCAAGTAAAGCTGTCTTTTTTGATCTGTGTACAACAGTAGCACGCAAAGAAAATTTCTTGTTAAGGAATTGTTCTCTCTGGTTCTTATGCCTGTAGCAGAAACAATAATCGGAATTTTACTACCACTGCTCTGACGATGATCATCACTACCACCCCCACCCCACTGCTACTGTTATTTGAATATTTGCACTGTTCTAAATACTTACACATACAGAATAATTCATCCTAACACAAAGTCAGTAAGTGAATTAGTTTTATCTTCCCTGTTTATATAGACGAAGAGTTTAAGTAACTTACCTAACACACACATCTACCAAGGAGCTATGCTGAACTGAAGGCATTTTGATTCTAGAGCCCTCATTTAACCTCAACGGTCAGTTTTATTAAGGAATACCTTGGGTATGTGTTATTTGTGGTTTTGGTAGATAAACTGAAGGGAGCATATCTAACCTCTTTATGCTTCTGTTGAAAGATTTATTGTTCTTTAGGTCCCCTAGTTTTCCCCTTTTAACAAAACCCACTTATATTTCCAAATCAAAACCAAAGCTATGAGAAGAAGAATTTTAGTTAAAGCATTTGTTTCATTTGTTACTTTTATCAAGAGTTTATTAGATTTTTTGTTTAAATTTTAATTTTCAATTTAATATTTCTTTTAGATTTTAGCTCTTACAAACTTTCACCAGCTTGAGCACTCTCCCTTTCTCCAGGTAAGGCTGGGAGGCAAGAGGACATGGTAAATTGAGGATCTGAAATCATTGATTATGGATGAATTGTAAATTGAAGGGTAAGAGAT